TTCCTCTCAGATCTTCTGACTAGCCTAAGAACTACATTAACATGATACATTAACAGGAGAAAATAACCAAATTTAATTACGAATGCACATATGGGGGTCTGTAAGACTATGGGGCCCTAGGACAAATTGGACAGTTGAGGCTTATATGCCATCTTGAGCTAAGGAGAAGGGGTCTGCTTCCACTTCAAAGGGGAGAAAGGAAATTTACACGGAGAGGAAGAAGCAAATGTCTATTAAGCCAATGTTTGCTGGGCCATCTTTAACAATGGGACAGAGAGAACTTTGATCCAATGGGCCTTGCTAGGCCCCCCTGTCTCTCACACCTGGTTCATATTAAAATGTAGTTCTATTATAATGATAGCTCCCTTCTTGGAGCATGTTCTCTATCTAAATTCTCTTAGGCAGTTAGAGAGAAGAGCAAAAGTTCTTCTTGAGTCTTTTGTTTCTTAAAAATAAACAGCTTAAAATAATCACTATCCCCCCAAAAAAGGCATATTTTGGGATAGCAAACTCTGCCCCCCCTTCACGTCCCACTGAAAGATATATAAATACTATTGATAATATGCTAATATACATAATATTATTTTTTATAATTACACTAATTTTTAAAGAATCTAAACTATTTGTTATAAAATTGCTTCTCGGCCTTTTGGCTAAGATCAAGTGCAAGCTACATGTTATTAAAAATGTATGAAATATGGTTAGCAAAACATTTAGACAGCAAGCAAAATGAATGAACCAAGCATTGGGATGAATCTTAACAATTTAGTAAATATTAACTGGGAAATACATGTTCAAATTTTATATAAAACATAATTCCAAAGTTTAGGACAATTATAATAAGAATATATAATTCTTAGGAATTCATTTGCTGCACTAACACCCTATTAAAAGTAAAGCAAAAGAGTGATGAATTCAGGATCAAGATTATCATGAGGGAAGAGGTGGGAGTGAGGGAACCAATGTTTAGATGAAAATTATTAGAAAAATTTTAGCTTTTGTTTGGAATGGTGGCTTCACAGGGACTTACTACAGTATTTAAAATGACCAAATAACCAAGGAAATGAATAAAAGAGGAAAAAGAAATTTAAAATGCTCAGAAATACATAAATATATAAAATGTATTGGATCTCCAGTCCAATATCCCAGAAGTGTTCAATGTATCAATTTTTGGTATATACTTCCAATTTTTTTTTCTTTTAGTACTTAAAAGCATATTCTAATCCCACATTTAAAAAGCAAAAAATAGTCTGCAAGCACACCCCAGGGAAAACAAGTGAGGTCATGAGTAAGCTGGTATTACCATGATTTCAAGAAGAGCCTCCTGAGTAATTTACATTATTCTATATAATAAAAGCCTAATATGCTAAGTGTCCAACTGTTCATTCTACCATTCGACCAGTTGCTATGACGCACACTGACCACCCAGAGGCAGACGCTCCGACCATTAGGTTAGCTTGCTGCTGGGGTCCAGCCAATCGGGACTGGGCGAGATGGGCCGGACAGGCCCTGGAGCCCTCCCGCGGTCCCTCCCCAGCCTCACTTGTGTACAGGTGGGGTCCTCGGCCTGGCCTGTACCCTCTCACATCCGGGACCTCTCGGGGAATATCTGAAGGCCAGGCTGAGGGATCCCACCGGTGCAAATCCATGCACTGGGCCTCTAGTATACAATAAAGTCTTTGAGAAGCAGAATAGAGTTAACCCTTAAGCAAAGGGCCTTAAAACTATTAGTAATGGAAACCCCAGCTTCCTCCTAGCTCAACCCAGACTGCTCTCCTCTTAGGGTTGTTGGAAAGACAAGTTTTGAATCCCTTGCTGTCTTCCCTAAACCCCTAAGATTAGACTATAGCAATCAGAGGGGCAGGTGCGGGCAGCAGGCTCTGAAAAAAGAGACAT